AGAATAATCGGCTTTTAAAATCCTTGGGTTTTTTATATACTGCTTATTTTTTATGAGATTCCTTTAACTCAATTTGCCACATATAGATTTGGCTCCCAGCTATTTAATTTTTCACGTGGCATGCTATCAACAATTATTGTATCAGAGTTCCATGAAATCAGGAGGAGATGGGAAAATTTTAAATTACAACATTTCTCATGTAAGAAATACTAATATTCCTTTACTTTGGAGGACTGTCCATCCTCAGCACTCTTTCACATCACTCGCAGGGAGGGTGGAAGGAGTAAACGATCCAGCACAACCCCGTGAGAAAGGAGGAGCGGGATGAAACCCCGGTTTAAAAGAAAGCATTTGGACTTTTGCTGTTGACTTGAAAGGGACCAAGATGTATGCAGAGAGTTAGTGAAGTGGAAAGGATGAATGGGATTCGAAAAGGCCAGGGTGACAGGAACAAATTGTTTTGGAGAGATGTGTTAATTTTTGACAATCTTTCTGTTAAAACAAAATAGATACAAGCGAGAGCAAAGCACTCGAGTCACCGCGGAGCATTTCACACTGACCTTTTCAGAACTGAACACTTCAGTTAAGCACGACGTCCACATCCTACCGTAAGGTACATTTTGTGGTGGTTATCTCAGAGCTACGCTTCTGCAGTGACCAAAATAATCTTTCTCCATCACATTTCTGTTTCGTGACTAAGTTCCCTTTTTTCTTTTACATTTAAGCATTTTCATTCCATCTAATCGAGCAATTGTTGTTTGGAAACTGCAGAATTTCTTTTGGAACAGCCCTTCTCCAAGGATACCCCCGGGATGCTGCAAGCCCAGCGGTACCAGCGCAGGGGCTGGGCTCGTGGCTGGCCGTAACCGCTGTCGCGCAGAGGGGAAAAGGCACCCCAAACCCCAGCTCCTTTCTGCCATAAGGTGCTGGAGCTCGCGTGGTGCGGCTGGCAGACGTGGGCTTTAAAGGGCAGCAGGATGCTGGCAGGGCAGGCGGCGCTGGGCAGCGAAGCTTTATCAGCGCTTGAAAGGCAACTTCTGCAGCTCCGGGAGAACTTTGCTGATTAAGGCTGCCGGAGGGACCAGGGGAATTTCAGCTCGAGCTTGCAGCTGCATTTTTAAAACTTGGCTATGTTCTTCATATAGAGGCAGAGTTCAAAGAGGCAGAACATTATTCAATATGAGTAAAACACGGTCTTTTAAGATACACTTTCAAACAGTGGCATGTTAAATCAAAACAACTCATGGAGGGGGAGAGTAAGGAAGAAAGATGGTCCTGGGGAAAAGAAAATCCTGCATCATGCTCTGCATTTTTGAAGGGGCCTGCGTTTACACATTTCAATTGTACAGCTGCATGACCTTAGGCTAGATAAGCTAGAAATGCATTAAAATGTTTTCCAGAGAGTATCAGAAAAGGAAAAAGAAATGCAGTTCAGTTGAAGAGCCAGCACACATTTAAGGATGTAAAGGGGCCAGGCTGTGACACACATGTTCACGCTATGGAGAACTTGACTCCACCAAGAATGAGCTCCTGATTTCGAGAACACCATGCTACGGTGTAAGACACTATTTCAATTAAGCTATTATAATCTTAACCAGCAAAAACAACCTATTATAATTAATAATACTTGATGATTTCTTTTCTATTCCTGTCAAGGGTTGCTTGAAGGTGACTTGCACACCGCAGAGAGCATGCTCCTTGGAAACCCAGGCAGTCTGAGTGCTCTGCCGTCTGGGAAGCCCCCTCACTTAAACCCCATCAGACTGTCTCTAATGAGCCTCTTCACATTGCTGCCAATTCTTCCAGCTCTTGGACAATCCCCTCTGAAGGATATTTGTATTTTAGGCTTAAGCAAACTTGCTTCTTCCATGGGAGGCTAAGTGCCCAGCAGTATCACACTGTGCTGCAGGTTGGAGTACGCATCCTTCCTGCATTCCCATTTTCTCGGTTCACTCTATCTCCTTTTGGCTTACTCACTGCAGAGTCAGCAGGTCACATCCTGGCCACCCTCCATCCCCTGCCATGGCCAGGCACAGTTTGCAGCTGTCCTGCAGGGTCAGAGACGAGGCACGCTGCTCTCTTCCAGCTCACCGCATCCTGGCTAAGTGGGGAGCAGGCTACGCCGCGTGGTGCAGCATCCTCTGGAGCCACAGCCCTGCCCGCGCCCCGGATGCTGTCGCTGTGCCCTGTTCCCGGGTGTGCTGAGAGCCCTTTCCTGTTCCCTTGGAACGGGATCTGCTCTATCGATCCTACTGAAGCCTTCCAGGGGCTTTCCCCATAGCTCAAGGTCACTGCGCCCTGCTCAGCCGGTCCTCAACAGCGTATTTTTGACGGCCTTGCTCTGCAAAATTTCCATGGGTGGAGCTCGAGCTCCATATGTCCCTTTTTTCTTTTTTTAAAATATGGGCAAAATTCCTACTGACTTCAGTCAGTCATTGTCTGCTCACATCAGCTGCCCTCGGAGTCAGCATTTATTTGGGATACTCTGATACTCTAGCTAGTTTTCTTGTAAGAGGTGTGCAGAATTATTAAGAACATTGCAGATACTGTAGTAATCGAGTAATACTGCATTTTTAAGCACAACCATTATAAATGGGCATATGGAAGATGTGAGAAATAACAATTGTACAGGATATCCAGGGAAGCATTTCCAGTCCTCAGGCATAGTTCAATAGCAATGAACAGTGGAAAATGAATGCTGAACTCCTGTAACATATAATAAGATTTTTTTAGCTCGCTTGAAGCAAATCTGTACTTTACACATGAATATACATACAGATGCACACGTGTATTTATAGATGCATATCCGTATATAACTTACTATTGAATCAATATTGAACACATTTTGCTGTTACCTCTAAGAACTTGAGATGCCTTTCATTTGACGACCACTGCCACAAATAATCATGAATGCTGGCTGCGTATTTTTTCTCCTGCAATGGCTGCTGTGGTGACTCTTTAGTTATTACAATACTCAGAAGCATCTTGAACTATAAAGAAGCTTCCAAATCTCGTCAGGATCTACGCTTAGCTAAATATATTGTCTGGAGTTGTCTCTGCACAAAGCAGGGATATGTAACCGAGGCAAACAAGGAGCACGTGGACACCCACAGAAACTCTGTGACCTCTCTGTCACTTTCTCAAAGACACAGCATCATGTTTATTGCCAAGTACATGGAATGAGGGCTTCAGATACCCAAATTCCCAGGAGGTTCTACAAAAGCAAAGAACAGAAATTCAATACTAATATAAACCTTTAGAAGAATACCGATTAAACAGGAAAGAGGGGGGAAAAAAGCACCCAACTACATCAAAGACAAATGTAATTGCTTTTGAATAAAACCAGATTGCTTTCTACCCACCTGCCTTAAAGGCAAGCAGTCCTGTCTGGGATACAGAATACCAAAAAATACAGGTAGAAGCAGAGGCACAAGTATTTTGTAGGCAAAGTTACCCTATTCTGATTTAATAGCTCAAAGGCTTAGCTGGATTTCAGACAAGAGGATGCAATTTACTGCTTCTTTCACAAACAAGCAGAGCTAGTTAAAACATTTGGGAACACTTCGAATATTGATCTGTCCTAGAATAAGACATAAGAAATTTGATTTGCTATGGAAATGTTGTACCACTCTTCAAACCCTGATATGCCCCAAAGTGGCCTTCAAACGAAAGCTGGAAAATCCTCTGGGAAGAGGTCACCAGAGCCATTGGCTCAGGGTCTTCTCACATCCCCTCTGCCAACCAGGACCGGGATCAGCGCTGTGAAGCTGGCACGCTGCCACCCAAAGTGTACCAGGAAGGAAGCTGTACCTGTTCTTTCCTCAAAAATAACGTCATGTTCTGCCACCACTGCGTGTCACCACTGCAGCTCGTTCCTCATAATGCCGAGAGACCATCAATCATGGCTGCGAATCACCTTGTTAGAAACAGTGGCCACCGGAGACTTTCCTGTGACACCGCAGGCAGCGGAGAAGCCGTGATGAATGTTGGCTGACACAAAACCAAGTCATGCGGTGTTTAACCCCTCAGCTGGTAAACAACCCAGGGTAAAATTTGGCTTGGAAAAATCTCACTCAGATTTCAGGAGAGTACAAAAGTACTGGTGACAGATTTCACGCTATAATTTCTACTTAAAGAATGGATACCCGCCCATTAGTTCTTTTCAGCAATAAGCTGCAGCAACCCTGCTACCATATTGGAAACTGCATGGTTACACCACACTTAAATAACAAATCAACAATATAGCTGAAAAGAAAACACTGAAGACCCTTATAACTGTATTTTCCATGCATATAAGCAAGGTCACGTAAACACCATCACTTGAATTCCATGTACAGTTTACACCTTCATTCATTTTTCACCCATAAATTTTCTGAAATTCTACTTTGGCTTTTCCCTCTTTCGCTCCCTGTAAGAGAAGTCACCGGGGACAGAGTGAGCAATTTGATGAGACACCAACTTCAGTGGGAATATTCCCCCTCCGGTAGGTTTGCATCAGGCACCGAATAAGGAAGTATTTTCTTCACACTTTGGGACACAGACTTTATAGGAGTCTGACTGGGTGCCAGATATTGAGTTTGCAAATAACAGGATTAACTATCAAGGAGGCAGATATTCAGCATTTCAGGCAGAGGGTCAGCGAAAGGCCACTGCTGGGTTGTCTTTCAGTGCCCTGTACTTCGAACAACAGCCCCGTGCATGTGTAACTGGCACACCAGAATGGCAATACTGAGAATTACCCTACAAAACTGTTGCTTCTGCACATTCCACGTCTAGGAAAGGACCACCGGGACACAGATTCCCTCTAATCCAACTCTGCACTTTCTCTACAACCAGAGGAAGATACACCTGCTAGACTGTCCTCACCTCCATCACTCTTCAGCAAGGAGCCAACAACAGCAAACCTCCCCTGCATTCCCTCTATGCCAAGAGGCAAAGCCACGGTGCCAGATTGATGTCTGAAAGCTGGTGAAAACTTTAAGACTTTTTTTCAACTGTACCTGGTTTAGAGCCTTCATCAACAGATCCATTATAGACTTGGTTTATAAACTCCGGCCTGTTGTCATTCATATCAATCACATAGATGTAAAGGTCAATAGGATTCTCCACCTTGTTTCCATTCATATCCACCGCATGAGCCCGGAGCTGGGAATAAGCACAATGAGAGAATAATATCAGCAACTGGATTTGTTGCAGAATGAGAGACCACGTTCTGTAGGAATTGACTTCACCTCATAAATACTTTCTTAAAATTGAACTGAGCGGGTATCTAATTCCAGCAGAAAGCAGCAACGTGGTTCATCCAGACTCCACACACAGACAGTTTTTCAAGGCTTAACATAATAAGGAAATAATATTTTAAAACAGCAATTGTCAGTGGAAACATTTTAACAGTGGTGTAGTGATGCTATCTCCTTCACTGCTAATAAACCACTATATTTTAATTTTTAAGACGCAGTGAACCTCGTCTGACAATCTGCAAAGCAAGTTTTGCTCAGTTCCAAACACAGCGAGGAAATGGGTTTGACTTGAGAGGTTTCTTAAGGGAACCTGCAGCCTTTCCTACCACAATAACAGGGATTAATAAGGGAAGAGATTTCAGAATGGCATTAGTACTGTTTATTCTTTCTTTAATCACAGTCTCTAGCAACAGCTACCAACCCCATTGCTCTGTGCACCAAAATATATATAAAGAAAGGCCTTTTCCTTCAAATGACGGGAGCCCCTGTGGCACAAAGAATGAAATATTCTTCTCAGGCTTAACTAAAATACCCAGTGATGAAGCATTATGATAACCAGAGCCACGGTGTTAAGTCCTCAGTTAAAGTGGAACTGCGGCTTTATCTTATTAACAATAACCATCAGTAATAATGCTCAAAAACAAGAGCATCTGTTTTCTGAACAAAAGGGACAGATACAGCATGTCAAAATGAGTAATTAATAAAAACAAAGCAATCAACAATAGTCTGGAACAATCAGTAATCAGGTGAAAAAAATGGATAGCTTTCTCATTAAAGGGAACAGATGGCTACTCTAACGGTGTGTGCGCCGAACGGAGCTGCCCGTGTCGGCTTCGGGAAAAAACCCAGACAAGCGAGGAAGGGGCCGCGCGGCCCCTGACGGTGGCTGGGCAGGAGAGAGGCATCGCATGAGCGCGAGCGCTGCCGATTCCCTTTGTCATCCCTCTTCATTTCAGCACCGGTGAGCATTGCTGAGCCTCCCCGCGCCATGAAAATTGGGGACGGCACTCCGGAGGGCTGCATGACATCCCGCCAGCCTGGGATGGAAGAAGGAAGGCTTCAGGGGATGTTAGCTTGGTGCTAGGGCTGGCCGGAGGAGCGGGGCTGAGGGATGGGGACCTACCCACCGCCCCGCAGCGAGCGCTCTGGATGATACACGCCCTGCGAGCACGCCGACACACGCCAGCCCGTGCCTTTGGAGGGAAGGAGGCCTCTCCAGTCCCTCCCAGCAGCTCCCTGGGCCATCGGGATGCTGCCGGGAGTTGGAGCTCCTGTGCCAAGGAGGTCTCTAGCTCCTCTGATGCGTGACAAATAAATGTGCTAATTGCATTAGCACTGGTTCCCGTCCTTTGCTCTTGCTGTGCCGTGATTGATGCAACTTTCTCCTTCATGTATGGCGTTCAGAAGTCCAGAGCTTAACAAAAGAAACTGCACGCTATTAGGATGGGCTGGATTAGCATTTAATCAAGCAAAGAGAACAAACTGCCATGTGAAACAAGTTGGGAGAAAAACAATTTTTTTAAAGGAAGTTAAGCAGCACTTTTTCTTTAAAGACTGAAGTAGCTGGGCTTTGTTTTCAATACAGGATGTACCATTTGTATTTCATGAGTTGTAATGCTCTTAAATATCTGTATTTCTTGCCTGCGTACAAACTGCTTTGGCTCTCACCTGTTGAGCTATCCTTCATCACGTCAGATGTAGCAATTCAATAACTTTGCCAGTCAGAGGTCAGACTGCCTTTGAAAAAAAAGTAATTCGGAGCTAAAATTAAAGTTATTATCTTCAAACTGCGGCAGCGCTGGGCTCTCTCTTGCTGCATTTCCAGCAGCGGAAACGGTTCCAATTCAGAGATAAAGCACAGAGCAAAGCTGGTATCTTCCCTCTCAGATCTGACTCTCCCCCTGCAAATTTTTAATTACATTTGATAGCTTTTGTTTGAAATCTCCAGGAGTAAGGGATTTCTCACCAATGCACATCTATCTGCTTGTTGCAGTCACTAAGCGCATGTACCCACCAACGCACCGCTGCCTGCACTCAAGGGGAAAAAAGATTCAATAAGCAGGACTGCAGGGACCTCATAGAATCATACAATGGTTTGGG